ACCTGGTTTGTCATCAAATCAGCAAAGTTAAGTAGGCATAAGCTTCTCTTAAAGTGAAAGTCAAAGTCAAAATTTGTTTATTCATTTAGGTACAATTTGCACGCTTATGAAAGTCAAATTTGATGCCATCGGTTCAAGAGTCTACCAGAAGACCTTGTCTGAGAAGAACCGGCAAGAAACTCAGCAAGTTTTGTCCTCCCTTTACATTTTCTATTTTTATTTATTTGGAAAGAGTCATAATCCACATCAGGTCTTTAAAATTAAATTTATTTTTTAAAAGTATAAATAAATAAATGTCACCTCGGCTACCTTATTTACCGTATTCTCCTCACACTAAACCCATGTCCAGTAACATGCCCGCCCTTGTGCACCCTACAAAGAAATTCTTGTGTCAAATAGTATAGCTTCGTAAACCTATCCGATAGAGACTGCTAGTACTTGTACACGGGTCGGTATCGGTCGTGTCGGTCGGTGCGACGGATGCGCGGATAGCATCTCGTCGCTTCCGCCCATTTATCTGCCAGTAACCCCCCTCCCCTCCCCTGCCCTTCACCTAGTACGAGATACACGCAGATCAGCTTCCTACATGCCATCAATTAGATGCAGCAACCTGCACGTCGCCCGATGTCAGGCGACAAATGTATGCTGCCGCATGTTCGAGCTTGTTACCGGTCAGCGGTGGACGCAGCGGATGCGACAACATCACCAACGTAGACGGGCACGACGCATGCAGACAGGGCACTTTAGAACGAATAGAAAATACTTGTTTCTTTCACGTATGAAATGCAGCGGTGAGAACTAATTTTGTCCTGTTTAATTATCTGGTCCATACAAGGCTGTAGTTTGCCAACATTCGATATCAGACTGGTGATTTAGAAAGGACATTGGGCAAAAATGTATGGACGCTGCACCCACGTCCGCCACGGCTTAAACTACATTTGATTGAAAGGTATTATAGTCAAGATCATCTGTGCCAAAATGCATCAAATTCCATCCTGGGGGTCTTTAGTTATTTTAAGTTAAATATGTAGAAGTACTATAACGGACGAACATTAATGAAACAAGGGAATTAATTTACTTAGTTCGACCCTACAAAGGCGGCTCAGAAATATGGGAGTACTTCATAAGGTGCAAGGGTGCCCCCTTATGTTATTCTGCCGCGCTAGAGTAAATTCAAAAATCCCCGCATGGGTTTAAGTAAAACGGAGCGACCACAGATTACAAAAACTTGTCCACGCTTCGGAGAACACATAAATCTAGTTTATCCATACTAATTGACAAAACCGATAATCGTGTTCCAATATCCAAAGCGTGTTAGATAAAAATCAATCAAGTAGCAGGGAGCGCACAATCACAACGAAGTAAGACGAGTCGACAATTTGCAACTGCAAGTCCTTCAGCATTCGTAAACCGTTTTGAAATGTCTCAGTAAGAGCAAGCGCAGGATGGTCGGCAGGCTTTGTCGTATTTCTGGTTGGATAGTACGATATGGCATATTATTATGATTACTAATAATATAAAATGAAGGTATTATAAAATAAATTTATTCAGCTACTTGAATATGCCCATGTGTCATATCTATTGACTACCAGGATATTTTACGGTGTCATATCTTTTGACTCCCAGGATATTTATTTTCGGTGTCATAATAATAAAGGCTAGTTTTTCATAGGTCTATCGGTTCATACTAATTACATTGTTGGCGGAGCTGGGTGCGTTTTGCCCATTGTCCTTTATTCATATTATAATTTAAAGATTTAAAAAAGTGAAAGCGTATTTATAATGCTAATCAATACAAGCAGGGTCGAGTAGAGGAGAGTAAAACAATAGGCACAGTGTCTTATAAGGAATATCTCTGACCTTTGCTTATTTGTCTATGGTCTGTCTTGACATGTTTTATTAGTTTCATATGCCGCCATCTTAAGCAGCAGTCATCAGACTTCAAATGACCGGGTTTATACGCGGCTCTTCTCATTGACTCAAATTATCTCTGTACAGACCCACAAGATTTCGGAAGCAATCTGACTTCATGGTGGAAAACTATGGTGATAGCAGATATTTATTTATATACACAGTGGAAGAACCAGTTAAAACATTTGAATGAAACACACATGTACGGCCTGATACTTTGGTATATTTTACCGAACTGAATTAATTATTTACAATGTGATAGATTACTACATTATACATAGCCAGTGTGGCACACCATGCATTCTCCAACACTTCAATAATGTGTGTTTATAGGATTCTATTTATCTCTGTCTGTTCTACGAGCCCCATAATACGAAAAGGACACATAGTACCAATAAAGTGTGCTGTAACTATGATCATCTTATTGTCTCAATACAGTGCACAGTAGTGCTTCTAAAGTGCCATCAAAACCTTAAACGTAAATTAATACGGAAGTACGTCATAAAACTAGACCTAGCTACCATTTAGAAAACTGTCAAAATTCTTATAGGTCGAGTTGGAGTATGCTATTTACATGATAACTAGATTCACTGGCTACAGAAGAATATTTTTTGTTGGTAACTTATTGTATAAGTAAAAAGCTAGAATAGGGACTTAGATTGAGCATGTCCAGACAGAAATGCCTGTTAGTCTTGTCTTAAATATACCCAAGTAGTAATGATCAGGGAAAATAGAGGCAGAGATATCGTCCCGAATCATATAATAAGAGATTGCATCGTACAGTTGAATAGTGTGACATCCAGTTAGACACTTAAGTCATCCTTGACATTGCACCCTAAAACTTTTATATAAACCACTTAACGGTTGATCAGTGGCCAAACTATCATGTCCGGCCACGTGTTGACCCCACACCTCGTCATAATCTGTACGAACATGCTACGTGGCTACGTTTTAGTATTGTACCTATGTCTCCGAACAATATCATCTAAGATTGGCAGTCAGTCGCATACGACACGGCTGCGTGTCGCTCGTCCCTTCCCGTCCTATCCTCCAACTGATTAGGTCACAATGGCGCTCGTTACGATGCCACGTGGGAACCGATGCGACCCGCGGCTCATTCACTGACAGATGCTCACTTCATCTCCAAAATTTCAACTTTAGACGTGCTATTAACTGACTTTCTTTGCTCTCGACAAACGTCCGAAACAATTACACAACTCTTTATAAACAGAGACCACGAAATGAATACGATACTTTAATTTTCTTTTTTTTTATAATCCTAGTCTTCGGCAAAGATGAAATTTAGATTTTGATCAAGTAATTTAGTTTGCTAAGACCGTTTGAAAATGATTTCTACACAGATAAGAAGTCTGTCTGGTGACGCAGTAGTTTCGGAAACCATTGCAGATAATTCGTGTCAAATTGATTCGAATTCATATTTGGCACGAGACAGATATCTACAATAATGAACACCTTTCTGTCTCGAAGTGTTACACCTGTACCTGCCAACCTATTATCACACGTAACTTCATCCAAAAATACATAAAATACAAATATGATACAATATTAATAATTTATACTACATTTATGATACAATATTAATAATTTTACGTCTATTTTATTTTATTTTTAAAATGCACTAGCCCGCAGTTTCTTCTATTTTCATGGTATGGTTTCATTTAGCCAAATGTTACCTGGTAGAGATTGCTACCTTAGCAATAAGGCCGCCTTTTGTGTTTGTGTTCCTTGAGTTTTATGTTGTATATATTTTGTTAAATAGTGCAATAAAGACTTATCATTCATTCATTATACGCAAAACGAAAGTATAACTTCACCTTTCCCTTATTAGCTTAACTAAAAGGGTGACACTAAAAAAACAAAGATAACAAATTATTCGGCAGCCGTTGTTTTTTTTTATTAAATACATAGTTAACATGAAACAGTAACCCGGGGCTGGTCCCGCTCGTGAGAAATATTTGTAAAAACACAACAGAAAAAACCCAAAGTCTAAGATAAAAAAAATATCTCACATTATCTCGTGAGGTCGCGGCCCAGCAGGTACCTGGAGCGGAGAGGTGCCTGCTCGAACCCAACCCAACTTCATTAAACCACTTAAGATGATTTATGTATTTAACTTCAAAAATCAAGATTAGTTAAAAAAGTATAGTATGGAATTAATTTGTGATTACTTCTCTATTGTTTTAAAGATATAGAGCCGTATTTTTTCCATCGTAAATATTTCATGATATATTCCTCTGATATTCTCCCATAAAATTGTTTACTGCATCGCACTATGTTCTTTTGAAAGACATTAAATCTAAAAATGTTCATTTTTAAACTCTGTACAGTCAGAGAATGAAAGAAAATAAAATATTATTTATACAAAACTCAAAAGATTCCGCTATGGATGCTCTGTAAACTGAAAGTTTTAAAAACACGTAGGTATTTCACAGCACTTACAATAAAACAAAGCAACAATATATTCTAATGCCAGTATTGACATTTAATAAATTCTGTGTTACTTTCACACCTGTCTTCGAATACTCGTTTCCATCCAAACTTGTAACGCATGTTTAATATTTCGCAGTTATACGGTAAAATATTGTTTGTCCTAATACTGATACTTATTCCGTTTACTTGTGACAATCTGTAATTTATTGTTGTTAACTCAGTAAACTCTACTTTTGACGCAATTTCTACGATTGTCTTCAAGTTGAATTGTCTTGAAACAAAACTAATTATGTGAAGTTTACATATAGACATGAAAAAAAATTATCCGTTCGTCGCTCCCATATCGGAAAATCTCAATCAAAAAACCTCTTTTATCCCTACCTTCTAATACTTATCCTGTACTCAAATCTAAGTAAATTTCAAAACAAATTCTCTTAAAACGTGCATAAATTTAGCTAAAAGTCCAATTTTAAGATGAAGGCAAACGTTATCGTTGCAATGTAAGCTCGCTGCTTAAAAGCTTAAATTTTCATCAAATTGCGAAATACTTACGTAACGATTACTTTGGAAACCTCATCCCTTGGTAGCGCTCGCGAATTCGCGAAAGCTCCCCCGCGCCCGCGCCGGTGCAAGCTGCAATGAAAATAAATGAGTTTCGCGGGACTAGGCAGGGGCGGGGCGGGAGGGACGCGGCGGGGGCGGCGCGGGTGCGGGCCGCCGGCGCCGGCAGTCCGACGGCGAGCCCCGCGGCGAACGTACGCGCCAGTCGCGCAGTGAGCAGTGCAACCAGTGCCGTGTGTGCATGTGTGAGTGCGGTGACCGGGCTGTGGCGGGCGGCATGCGGGCCCGGCGCCCCGCGCCTGCGCCCCGCTGACCCGATGCGCGCCCCAGGGCGCCGCGCGACGCTGCTGCTCGCACTCGCCCTCGCCTGCCTACTGCGCGTACGTCCACCATCCATCTACCACACCCGTACAAGCTGACCGCGGTTTCGTCGAGTTTCAAAACCGTTTATAAATCCATCCCCCGTGTGCATCGACTGTCTCGTTATCCACTCCGCGTTCTTTCGGATTTCGTTTAACGTGTACGATGTAACAGTGCCTGGTGTGATGGAATTAAGCTCGATTAAAAAGTTTAAGTTGTAACGATACGGTTGCGGTCATTGATAGTAATGAAGCTCCATCTAAATCTAATAAACGTACTGAATTCTGTATCAATATTCCAGATAGTTGTTTGAGTTGATGACGAACTCATAGGAGAACTATATACTGGGAGTGTGATGTATCAGAAAGATCAGAAAAACAATATCTTCAACGGTCGGGATATAGCTAAAACGCGTGGTATTCTCGCACTAGGATCCGCCGCAAGATACGTGACCGCAGGCGCCGCGCCGCCAGCGTCCGCATGCGCTACGTGCGCCCGGTGACAATTAGCCGCTTCTGAGAAAAATGCGCTCCTCAGCTCACACTCGCCGAGAAGCTGAGACCGCGGACGTCGAACAATTTATTCGCATAAACGAGACAATACCAAATTTTGAAATGCCAAATATCAGAACCGAAACCAATTAAGCAATTTTAAAATTTAATGCTAAAATCGGAAACTTAATAAACAAACCTTTGATTTAGAATTTCAAATGCAAATAAGCACCTATAAATCGTATTGAACCAGTTTTTGAAGTAATACATGAACAAAAGAGACCAAACGCTACAACAGTGAAGCACGTATCACAGAGAGATACAAGTTCACCAAAAACGTCTTGCGCTGGGAAAGTTTCCATAAAAGCCCCGATTTTATTGTTACATCGCGCTTGAAGCTGTTGCATTATTCATGTGCGCGGCCGCCGCCCGCCGGTGATGGGATCAGTGCGCTTCAACAAACAACACCACTTGCGAACAAAACTAGAAACCATACTATCGGATAATCTAACTTAATCTGTTCACATTTTATTCATTGGAAACTTATGTTTTGAAATTAAATGAAAAGTCATTTATTCAGTCTAGGCTGTTACAAGCACTTGTGAAGGTCAAGAAGCTACGCCATCGGTTCGCAAAACTACGGCGGGAGACCTTGTACTGAAAAGAACCGGCAAGAAACTCAGCAAGGGCTGTTTTTTTCTCCCTGTATATATACAGTGTCGTAAAGTTGAAAAATGACTTCAGAAATACGTCTGAAGTCACTTTCCTTTACCGACGTACTTCGTTGTGGTTAGCAATTTTAAAGTGGATTTGGTTTTTATGTCCCAATAATTTGAAAATTTTAGATCCCATACATAATCCCCTAGAAGATACATAAGAATTCGCGTTGTTCCATGGAAAAGGCTTAGTGATGTCTTGTATAGTAAAGAAAATTAATCTGCAATCAGAAACAGATTTATTCTTTGAATAGAAACTGAACTATGATTCAATATTAATGGTAGAGTGTAGAGAATTCAATTTATTTTGAAAACTAACACATTAGTCAAACCATCCTTTTATCGGGATGGGAAAATCTCTTCTCATGCTTATTCGCATCGCAGCAGAGGACAATAACTTATGAGCTACATGTGACTCACCTACATGTTTTTATTAACCTCATAAACGTAGCACAATACGTTACAACTACAGTGTCCATAAAACAAATAAAAAGACAAAATTCTTAATTGGCGCATTATCGTTGTGTTGGCAAATTGATAGAATTATAGCTGTACAGTTGAATTAACAAGGCGTGCGTCCATAACAACTTTATTCGTTGGACATTAATATTCAAGACGCGCGACGTATTATTATTCATTACAAAAAGTGTCACTTGGTACACATACGCAGGGCATAATTACCCACGATCGTATAAACGTGATAAAATAGCTGTAGGGGCTGGTCGGGCGCGGCGTGGCGCGTGCGCAGACTCGCTGCGGGCGAGCTGGGACGGGACCGTGAACACACGTTTTAAATCGACTTAACGTTAATTCTACTCTTTATCTTCAATAATGTTTATGAGACAGTTGTTGTTCTTAGTTATGAGTAATGGAAGTCGGTAACTTTTATTATAGATTATAGTTTAAAGAAACTGACTAAAAAACTTTTGAATATGACTCTGAACAAGTGAGTACAAGGAAGTACGGTACGTGTATGAATTTCATTTATTTGCGGTAACTTTTTAAAGATAGTTAACATAATTATTGTTGATAAACAGTATGGGTCCCAAATATAATCCCTGTGGGACACTCTTGACACATAGTTTGCTTTTCTGCAAATTGACCAGATTTTGAATTTTCTGCAACATTGCAACTACATGCTCTAAATTCGACTATAAACTAAATGCTGAGTCACTCGCGCAGTCATTTTCTACTCTTTCTTTGTAAACTATTCACAACCGATTTAAATTTGTGATGATTTGTCAGCGCTAAGCAGACTGAGTTCAATTAAATACAATTCGGGATTAAGTATTGTTAAAATTGTAGGTAATAGACCAAAATATCTTAGTCCAATAAAAAACGTGGTAAAATAGTTATTTAAAAATCTAAAGCCTGCTTGAAGAAATATTCTCCATTCCATTCTCCCAATAACCCAGTATTTTGAAATTTGAGATGACCATAAAAGGTTAAATATGGAAGAAGATTCTGGTTATACCATACCGTTATAAGTGAATCCTACTAATATTATAAATGTGAACGTTTATGTTTCTATGTTTGTTACTCAATTATGCAAATACGGCTTAACGGATTTGAATGAGATAACTAGTACAACTACTACCAGGAAAGAGACATAGGGTACTTTTAATCTCAGAAAAGTGTTAGGTTCCTGAGCGATTTTCAAAAAAGTTAACGCGGATGAAATCGCGCCGCTATTCTGGTAATGTATTTCCCTAATAATCTTTGTAATTTCTATAGAAATTTTCATTTTGAACATTAACAGCTTCTTATTAATATAACCTAGTTAAAGTATAACTTAAGCTTTTCATATTTAAATAAAATTGTCATCCCACAAAAAAAAACAATATGGCCTAGGTCTGGTCTATCCAGGATTATACCTGGGCGGAGTTGATTTTTTATAATAAAAAACAATATTCTTTAGATATGAATAAAGATCTTATACTTCATAAATAGTTGGACATTTAGAGATAAATCGTACTCTTAGTCATCCTTTAATTCGCTTGCTCATGAGTAATACTGTTCGATCAAGATATTTTAATAAAAGACAACTTGTTTTTTATTCGCATTGACAGATAATAATATTAATTCGTATACTGCTAAATCATCTTTAATATGAGCCAACCAATGAGAAGTTAACTACTCGAATTGAGCCGTCATCATCGTTACCTAGTGCTGTTTCAACGCTTCATACATTTCCAACGGCTAATAAATTAATAACATTGCGACGACCGACATACCCATTTGATCATGTTACCAAAACAAATTTTATAAAGTGTTTGGAACTCTCGAAATATGTTGTTAAAACCACAAGAGGACTTAAGAGATGACAACCGTAAGGTATAAGATTTATTACGGTTTATTGCATTCGTTAATGAATTCGAACAGTCTTATATTATTGCTGTGAATATTCTTTAAAGAAACAGTTATTTCAGGTTTTCTACTAGAAGATTCTAACACTTTGCTAAATAAAATAGTGTATTGTTTATTTTAATACACATTTCAAGAGACGAGAGTGTAGTAATAGTAACAAATAACAATTATTCATTTAATTTGCTTATAAAGACTATCTAGATGATTCCATAATATTCTCTACTTGATTAATCCCCAAATTGTGTAATCAAAATGTTTAATGAATTTTTACCCTATTTCACCAAAAGAAAGATTATAACTTTGGTGTGTGTATTTATTGGAAACACTATCACTATTTAGACTAAAGTAATTTTTTTTTTTATTATTATTTATTTGTATTCAGGCATCGTAGGCCCATAGAAATATATACCTTATAGTCTTACATAGATATGAAATATAAAATAATAACAAATTCTAAATAACACGTTTAGTCGGCGACGTGCGGCACGCGGCTTTCGGCCAAAGCTCCTCTATCAAAAGGTTTTTATTCTTTGGCCATACATCCTAACTATGTAGCAACAAATGATTCAATAACAATAATATTCGATAGATACATCTTTTGAATTTTCGAATTTTAATCTTGCCACCTTTATCATTCACAATCTTTTATATATAATGTATTTGTAGGTATTATAATTTATCGTTTATATAAATATGTCAAGCAGAGTTTCTTAGTCTGGTCTCTTAAGTAACTCTTTATTTAAATTATTTCAATATATCTTATGCCTGGCTCATAATTCTCATGTCTTATCTAAATACTCCTTCGTATATGCATTTATTTATTAGCCACCTCTAAGAAATATAATTCAAACCTTTATTACGAATTATCATAAATTTATGTATTATAAAATATTGAGTGTCTATAGAAAAAAGTCTGTGTTTCTTGCCATTTTAGGAGCAGATGCTCTTGTTGATTAACCAAATAAATATACAGAAAGATATATTGTTTTAAACTTTAATGTTCCTTAATATTATAGTTATTAGCGGGATGCTACCATGTATCTTGTTTTTGTGAGTCTAGTTAACACAGAGTAGCTAACTTACATAGTTACCCCGTGATCATGGCGCTTGCAACAGTAACCTTAGTTACTCCGATATTAAAATTATAAAAAAGATAGCGTTGATAAACTGAGCAACCTGAGTCAAAAGGATAAAGTTGTTCTTAAATGGGTACTACGTCATTCAGGGATAATTGGCAACGAGAAAGCTGATGAATTAGCAAAAGCACAGGTAAGGGCACAGGGGCAACAGATGGGACCAGAACCTTTCTGTGGCATCCATAGAAACCATGCTATGGAAATTCTTGAAGACGACCTTCTAAGCGAATCGAAAAATACTGGCTAAACCAACCAGGATTAGAGCACGCTAAATTACTAACAGAAGGTTACTCGAAAAAACGGACTGTTG